GTCCTACGACGTCCGTCCGGCCGTCCTCACCGCCCCCACCCCCCTCCCCCCCCTACCCCCCCCCCTGAATCCTCGCCTCTCCGGGCCGGGCCCGGCTCCTCCCATCCGGGCCCGGGGGCCCGTGGTATACGGTAGTACCGGCGGCGACGGTCGGACGGGCCCGGGAGGCCCGGCGATTCGGCTGTGAAGATGAGGGGGAGAGGCTTGCAGGGAGGCGGGCCGCTGTAGAGGTGTATGGAGAGCATGCAGTGCGGCTTCTGTTTTGCTGTCAACTCATTACTAAGCCTTACACAGTCAGCTCATCATCGTCCTCCTACTCCTCATCCTCTTTCTTGTTCTTCTGCTTCCTCCAGTGTATATTCAGCGGAGTCAGCTCATGCTGCTGCTTTCCCTCCCCATTCAACTTGCTTGAATCGATCTCCTCATTGATAGGAGGGGTGGGGGTACTGACTGCCGGACTTCTAACCTGAGGGGTGGACTATCAAATGTATCATCCAGGGGGTAGGGGTACCTACTTACAGGGTGGAGGGTCAGGAGTTTTTGACAGTCAGGTTCGGTACTCCAAGGAGTTCCTCCCCAAGTTTACTACACAAGACTTTCCCTACATCACCCGCAGCAGACCTGACCCCACAGCACCCACGTCAGTCCGACATGCTCATGCTACAGCCTTCCTTCGATCTCCTCTCCCTCTTCCCCCTCTCCTCCCCCCTCTCCGCCTCCTCCCATCCCCTCCTCGACGACTCCAGCTCTGACGGCTCCGACTCCGACTCCGACTCCGACCTCGCCGAGGTGCTGAGACCCTCGTCGCCTGTGTCAGCCAAGAGGATGAGCAGCGAGGAGGGGGCGAGGGACAGGAGGAGCGGGCCGTCGAGGGAGCGGCAGCTTGCGGCGCTGAGGCACTGCATCGAGCTTCTGGAGCGAGCAGAGCGGCCGGTGGTGTACGGGGCGACGGGGGAGGCGATGCGGCTGTGAAGAGGAGGAGAGGGTTGGAGGGAGGCGAGATGTAGAGAGGGTGTACAGAGGATGTAGATATAGAGCCACGAGCAAGATGTATGAATAAAAGACACGATCAATGGAGAGCGTGCGGCTGCTGTATTGTTGTCGACTCGCTGCTGCTACGGCCCTATTTGCCATCCCTACCATGACCTCCTGCAGATCTTTGGGTTCCCACTTCCGGCCGCGGCGCTCCTCCCCTGTGTTCATGTACGTCCGACTGACCTACACTCTAGCATGTGTAGACTTGAGCAGAGAGTGAGCGGAGGGTTCTGGAAGGGCTTCTGGTTCCGGGTATGGCGGCAATCGCAGGAAGGAACTTGAAGGGGTGTTGTTCGGATGAAAGGAGAAAGTGATGTTGCACCCGCGTGCAGTTGCAGCAGCAACCGAGAGCCTCCGACGGTGGTCGCAACTGATGACGTCGGAGACTCGCCAGTGGCACGAAGATCAACTTCGGCTCGAGGGATCTAGAGTAGACTCGGTAGGACGCCGGTCGCCGATCAGCGAGCATCATTGATCGGGCCTACTGACACCGCCGGTCGCGGATTCGTCAGATCTGACCGTGTGAGTCACCGTGGCCTGCCGCGGCCGGGCCCGGCCGGGCCGGGCGCCGGCGCGGCCCGGCGGCCGGCGGGGGCCGGCCGCGGCCGCCGGGCCCGGCACTGAGGGCCTGAGCCCGGAGCCGCTGGCCAGTGGGCCGCCCGACGGCGACCGCGGCCGCAGTGACGCGGCGGCCCGGTCCGACTCCGCCGGGGAGTCGGGAGTCACGGGCCTGGCCCAATTTCAAGTTTTCAAGTCGGACGGTCGGGCTGCCGAACCGTTGAACGGCCCTCAGCCTGACTCAGATCGGACCGGTGTGACTCACTGTCACAAGTCCCGGCCCGGAACTTGCCAAGCTCAACTTGACGGTTGGGAACTGAATCACCGGTGACCGGGCAGTCAAGACTTTGACTGCCTCATAATAGGACATTTGGAAGTTCAACTTCCCTAGCCGTGTAGTAAGAAGTCAATGTACGGGTAGTAAAGCATAGGGTAGTAGCGGGGAGGAGGGCAAGAAGCGGATCTGAAATCTTAACTATAACGGGTGACTCAGTGAGGCGATTTTGGTTCCCTTGGATTATCCTAGAAGGGTGGGGGTACTAACTTGGGGTGCCAAACAGGGAGGGGTGATAGGCAAGAGTGTATCATCCATGGGGGTAGGGGTACCAACACAGTACGGTGTAGGGTGGAGGATGTAGGGACTGCTAGGAGTTAAACCCCCCAGCACGTTTCACGCCTGAAGCCCCCGCCCTCTCCCTACATCACCCGCAGCAGACCTGACCCCACAGCACCCTCGTCGCACATGCTCATGCTGCAGCCTTCCTTCGATCTCCTCTCCCTCTCCCCCCTCTCCTCCCCCCTCTCCGCCTCCTCCCATCCCCTCCTCGACGACTCCAGCTCCGACGGCTCCGACTCCGACTCCGACCTCGAGCTCGCCGAGGTGCTGAGACCCTCGTCGCCTGTGTCAGCCAAGAGGATGAGCAGCGAGGAGGGGGCGAGGGACAGGAGGAGCGGGCCGTCGAGGGAGCGGCAGCTTGCGGCGCTGAGGCACTGCATCGAGCTTCTGGAGCGAGCAGAGCGGCCGGTGGTGTACGGGGCGACGGGGGAGGCGATACGGCTGTGAAGAGGAGGAGAGGCTTGGAGGGAGGCGGGATGTAGAGAGGGTGTACAGAGGATGTAGAGATAGGAGGTAAGAATGTGGAGGAGGCATACGATTAAAAGACAGTGTGAACTCAAAGTGAATACTTGCTGCCGCATCCGATTAATAGTAGGGGATTGCAAGAAGTCGGACTGCCAGTGATTGAGCGTCTCGGGTTCACACATAATGTTTTATCTTTGCTAGTTGAGCTTGTCGTTGAGAGGCTGGGATCCTACTTCTGTTTGGCACGACATACCCGATTACCAGCCGGATTTATCCCCTTGCCATCGGCTCGGCTTCTGAATGAACCGGCACGTAGATTAGACTCTTTCTATGAATCATGCCAATCAATGGAGCTCTTTTCAACATACGGTGGCGGCTGCTTCCTGGATCGAGCTTGCTGAACACAGCCTGTCGAGTCAAACTCACGACCATGAATGATGTTGTACCCATGACATCGTTGCACTTGTAACGATGCGACAGCATCATGCCGAAATAGCAAAAACTATAAGGGCAATATGAAGTTTTATGTGGAATACCTCAGGTACCGTGTCGGGTACATTTTGGTACTTCATCAGGCAAATACCGACTGTCATGTGTACCATGCCCAACGTGGCAGGGCGCATCTTGTACGGTGGACCTGGCGGCTAGTCGTAAACTCAGTACATACGACAGGTAGAGTACTATGAGGATGAGACTTGACCGTACCATAGCAAGATCATTTACGACACTATTTAAGCTCAGAGAGGAGCGGACACCTTCGCTGCTCGTTTCCTCGCCACTCTTACACATCAGTCCCTCATACGTTATCTTGCTCTGCTGATACATAAACAAATCTAGCTTCATTCTTCATTCTCCCAAGCACACCTTGCTACGTTGTGGAACAAGTCTCACATCAGGTTAGAGCCTCGCGTTGAAGAATGACGACAGCTTACCAACTAAACTGGCCTCCATCAAATGGCAACTCGATCCTTACAAGAGTTACACCAGAGAATGCAAGAACTGCCGCTCCAGCAATCGAAGAATTTATTCAAAGAGAGCTAAGCGGGAGATTCTTTGCATATCTCAACTCAGAAGGGAAAGAAGAGAAAATGCAAGCTTTCTTCGAGCACAACATTCCAATCTCAGAAGGATTATCAGTTGCAGAAAAAGAAGCCATTATCGTCAAGCGGAGAGAATTCGTGCAAATAGCAGACCAAGCACTCATTCAAATTCTGTTTGCAATCTACGAAAATTGCAGCAGCAGAAAGAAAACCATAACGCGATATATGAAAGAGCAGCACAGCGATTCCAACGCAGGGAAGTTTCACTTCGCCGCGATACGAGCGTGGAATGAATTTAAACAATTGGACCAACCGACTGAGTTGTCAAGCACGAAACAAACAACTCAAAGCTTGAAAGAACTCAACCAAGCACTAAAGTATGGAGGAGACTATACTACTTACGTCACCGATATTATTCGGATTCTTGAGAGATTCATGGAAAAAGGACAGGACTGTGAACTCATCTTAGCCACTACCTGGGACCAGATCCAACAGGAATTGAAAAGTATCGATCGACACGGAGAACAAGGACAAATCGCAAAATGGATTACCAACCAAATCCAACGAGCGTCAACCGAACCAACGTTCTACTACAACGAGAAACCCACCATTGAAAGCCTTCAACGATTTCACGAAGAACTCCTTCATTTCACCAAACAAGGATCTACGAAAGACGGTAACGCAGTCCCAATCGTGCGCACTACCTACAGCCACCCTGGCTTCCCAAACAAACGGAAGGCGCCACAAGACGTAGATGGCACAAACCACAAGAAGAACAAGGTTTACCATACTACGGATCAAGGCGGTACCCAAGGGCAAGAATGTGCGATTTGCATTGAGTGCAATTACCCCGCAAAGATCTACAAGAGTCACGGTACATCACAGCACGACAAGACTAAGATCGGCAAGAAATGGAAAAGAATTACCGGAGACCCAGTCAACGGATTCCAGACTAAAGCCTGAAAAAAAAGAGAACAGCAAGCTACTCGAGCAGCCGCACAGCAAGTTGGGAACCAACTGCCGAACAAGGGCTCCGCGTACAACAAGCCCAAGTTTCAGGGGAAACCCAACGCAAAAAACTTTCGTCAGAAAAACCCCAACTGTTCCAATGAGAACAGCGGGAACTACCCAAAGTCAAAGTTCAAAAAGAACATGACGACTACGGGAGGCAATGATTTCATTGTGAATCTTGCTGAAGCGTTACAGCAGGTCGCAAAACGCGGCCATCATCTCGCTGAATCTAACGATTACAGCACAGATGAGAAAAATGAAGAAGAACAAATTTCGGAAGGCGATGAAGAGGCTCCAACGCCTCCAAGACGCCTGAAAGAAACTGTCCGCAAGGCTGCCGCAAAAGGCAACAACGCTGCATCTTCATTCACTCAGGGTGCTAAAAACAACAGACATAAGAATAAATCTGAAAAAGATTACTCGAAATGTCTCGCTGCCCCACAACTACACAAGCGCAAAGAGATACCTTTTCAAACAGAGCAATTGGATGCGACTCTGTTTTCGAAAGTATCCACTCCATGGTTCCTAAAAGACATGTTCGAGGTACCTAGACTCCTCATTAGGAATCTGGACCGACATAAAGTCTTCATGACCTGTAGATCAACACAGAACAAGCATTCGATGTTCGCTATCGTTGACTCAGGAGCCACCATCAGCGTCCTCTGCGACGCTAAGTGGATCCGAAAAAGATTTGCATACGAGAGCGAAATCACCGGAGTCGGTGGCCAGAAAGTCAACACATCCATGGGAGGCCTACTCGTAGGCAAGATGGAATCTGTCACCAACAAATCATATGCTTTCGCGACCCTTGCAACAATCATCCAAGACAAGAACGCTGCTGCAAATCTACTATCAATATGGAGAATTACGAACTCCAACAACACTGTTATTCATCATGGGAGCGTAACAAAAGGAACTCACGGTATCATCACTGCAAACAAGGATTTCATACCATTCTATTTTTGCCCTAAGACATATCTATGGTATGTCGAAATCAAACCGTCAGATGAACAAACTAATCGACTCTTCTCGTCAACAAACTCAATACAATGGGACAAGAAATCCTTGCTACGAGAAATACAACAAGGAGAATTTCCTCTCAACTCTAAACCGCGATCAACAAACAAAAACACAGAAACTAAAACAGAACGCAAGTACCTACTACACCAAGGTATCGAACTTGAAAACTCTCGCAGATGGGGAGGGAACAAAGTGTACTACGAAGCTGCGAAAGCTTTCCAACCGAC